TATGGTGTCGCTGGACCGTACTTTACCGCATTCATCAGTGCAGTTTTAATGAAGGGGAAGGTTGGTGTTCAGGACTAGTGCAGACATCACCCGCACCAACTGCTGTTAGCTGTGGCTGGGAATTGAACGCTGATCGCCGGGTTCATAGCAGTGCGCTAACCCATTGTCCTATTACCCAGTTATAGAGGTCATATATCTTCACGAAAATAAATCATTGCGGCTACAGGTGGCTGCCAAAGTCATCTTAATAATCCTGGCAACATGACATTGTGATGAATGCGTGGTATGATTGAACTGCCAAAACCTACATTTTCTTAAATACACATCCAAGTCATTTTATAAACCACGTGGTATTTATTTATTGAGTACTCGATGGTGGTGTTCATGGAATTTCACATTGTGGGAGTGTAGAATAATGCTTATATAGGGCATAACCAGTGCCTACACATACATGATGGCCTGGCTACTTTATCATCATCATTGCTCAATGTCCAAATAAACAAAACGCACGTGTTTTTTTTAAAATCAGCGACTTTTTTTTTAACAAGACAAAAAAACATCGATTTTAAAACCCCTACAATTACGGAACCAAATGCTATAAAAGCAAACAAAGACAAATTAAATTGAATAAAATATATAAGGGAGGTCAGGGGAGTTCAGAGATCAGAGCACTCAGCGGAAATTGCTGAGATTACAAAGCAGCCGCCTTCGATTACCCGGGTTCTCAAGTGTAGCGAGTTGATGGTCTCATGCTCGGCATCACCGATTACACAAAAACATCCCCATCACATTTAATACGATTCTCTCATTGATTTTGGTAAATTTCCACCTCTGACAATTGAAATTATCGGGTTGCCTGTCACGCTACGAACATTATTACCATTATTGGCAGGGCGTGCAAGCTCCCCTACTTTGTGGAACAGAGGTAACTTGAAGGGATCTCGGCAGCACGTCTGTGATATCCACTTCAATGGGGCAGTTCTCCAACACGAAGGATTGCACTGCCATGCGAGAGATCCGAATATATACTTTATACTGGTAGGAACGAAGTTGTAAACTGAGTGTACCAGCCTGCAATAGATTAATGTGTCCGTCCGTCCCCTTTCAATACTTTAACGAAGTGAAATCTCGTGCTGTTGGGTGTATAATTTGTCCGACAAACCGTCAACGATTTTGAGGGCAAAAAGGTGGGAAGACGCTCTCAATTTGCACAATTTTACGTAACAATGTCATAAAATTGCGCAAAATTCCAATGTTCCTACCAGCCCACCCTGCAGGGACCTGTTACTGGTAGTAAACTGAGTGTACCAGCCTGCTAGATTAATGTGCCCGTCCGTCCGTCCCCTTTCAATACTTTAACGAAGTGAAATCTCGTGCTGTTGGGTGTAAAATCAGCAATAGACAGCGCAGAGACTTGTCCTACCAGCCCACCCTGCAGGGACCTGTTCTTTTGACACAGCGCTGGAAGCACAATCAGGATGAAATTGGTAAGGAAAGGATACAAATAAATAGATGATGAATATTAAACCAGACTTGTGATGTATCTATCTGGCCCTGTGACCCAAAAAACAGCAGCACATCTTGTCTCATGAGCTCTGAACATTCATAAGCGGTCCGCTCTTCTCAGTGTCAGTTCAAAGGGAAGAGCATTCCAAAAAACACGATTCCCAACGTGTGTCAGTCATCACCCGGGATACAGGCAGGTGGTGGGTGGGGGTCACGCTATTGAAACTTTACACGTATGCTGCCTTGGTACCCAATGGCACTCGTCCACACAAATGCGCTCACACTGCAGGTCAAAAACTCATTTTTCCCTTTCCGTTTCTTTCCTCGCACTGCTCCACTTTGGAATTCCCTCTCCTGTCGTTTGTTTCCTTGAGTTTCTTATAACTCTTGTGCAATTCCAGAAACATCTATTGATCCTTTAAGAGTGATATTCGTTACTGGCCTCTTGGCATTGTGGGCTTGTGCTTTCATAATAATTACTAAAATGAGCCAAGAATGTGTGTGCAACGCTCGTGACGTCACTCCACGTCGACCAGCCACCCTCATTCATAATCATGAACAGGTTACGTCCTCCACATGGACCCCCCCCCTCATTAATAATCATGAGCAGGTGACGTCAATCCACATGGAGCACCCTCCTCCTTCATTAATAATCATGAGCAGGTGACGTCACTCCACATCGAACAGCCCCCCTGATTAATAATCATGAGCAGGTGACGTCCTCCAAATGGACACACCCCCTCATTAATAATTAGCGGGTGACGTCACTCCACATGGGGAGGGGGGGGCGAGGCGCCTCCTCCCCCCTCCTCAGCGTCAACTCACAACCCTCACTACAAAGGCAGAACCCTTATCACGTGACGCGATCTCCGTAACGCTATTGAGACATCAAAGTAAAAAGGACGTCATGATGAACAAGGGATTATAACCTTAACATGAAATAGGTCTGTGTCACCGCGCCCTTACAAATTGCACACGAATTGAAGCAATGAATATCACGTCGGGGTCTGCTTTTCGCTTGCAAGTTTCAGATTTACTGCAATACACCCGTCCTTGGACGGGCAAAAGGCGAGTGATATATAAGGACCAAATCATGTACACAGCTACTACCAAGCAAATTAAAACCCAACTACCAAGAAACTATCAAACTTAATAAACAAGTAAAGAAATGGCAGCAAAACACTCGTAATTTTTTTTAAACGGTTCAGTTTTTTCTCCAAAAGCACTCCAGTCCGCCATCTTCTGCAGCAGTAAAGTCACGAGGGAGGACGTGTTTGTGCCATTTTCGTGAAGATGTAAATCTGCCCCCACCCCACCCAGTGGTGTCGGCTGCACCGGACATCATACACACGCTACTTTCTGTCCGACCGCAACCGTTAGCGCTAATTAATGCCTCGTCTGCCCCCCCAGCACGGAACTGGGCTGGGGCTACATGATCCTTGGGTGTGATGTCATGCAATGCCCACACATCATTTCAAGGAAAAATGCAACTCGATAAAGACAAATAGCTATTATCTACTAGATAAATGTCCAGGATGCGTCCCGGGCCATCTGACAAGAATTTGAAGCTCCATTACTGTATTCGTTTAAAAAAAAATGATATCTAACGGTTCACTGAACACAACCCAAAGGTCTAAAAACAGCGGAGAGTAACAGGCAGCAAGATGAACGTTATAATGTTTGAGATCACAAGTTGACACTTTCGTGAATTGAGCAATGTTTCAAGAACATGGGGGAAAAAGAGACGATGGGAGGCACTTCAAAAGTGTATCTACATGAGGACAGAAGTAGAAAGTGTACCTTTGACCTGTAGTACCTTTGACCTGTAGGACACAGTATCGATGAGACAAAACCGTCAATCGTGCCAATTGCATCCCATAACGCTGTACATTAATTATACAGAAGGACCATATGTACACAGCTACTACCAAGCAAATTAAAACCCAACTACCAAACTGAATAAACAAGAAATGGCAGCAAAACACTCATAATGTTTTAACGGTTCCGTTTTTCTCCAAAAGCACTCCAGTCCGACATCTTCTGCAACAGTAAAGTCACTAGGGAGGACGTGTTTGTGCCGTTTCGTGAAGTGTATCTGCAGGGCAGAAGCAGAAAGAGAAGTGTACCTTTGACCTGTAGGACACCGTATGGATGAGACAAAACCGTCATTCTGGTAAACCGAGTCGTCAAAACGGATGGAGGACTAACACAAATTGATCTCTATGGTGTGGCACTACTCAAATAAAACAAAAGCTATCAGACGAAACAAATGTGCCGAAACGTTTCACATAGAGCCAGATTAAAAGGATTCCTTTCAAAACGTAGAAAATTAGAACCCACCTCAAGGTAGTTAATTCTCTAAAAATGTTCATGGGTATTACTTCGAGCGGAGAAGTGGTGCCACTGTTAGCACAGCGCACTATAAACCTGGCTTCTGAATTCGATTTCCAGTCATGGCTAACATCAGTGGCGATTGATACCTGAACCAGTTCGGCTCTCCCCGTTCACCAACCCACATTGACCACGGTGAAGATTTGGGCAAACGACTCCCAGAAATCACACTGCGTGGAGACCTCACGTCCAGCAGTGGGTTGACAAATTGCTCTAAATGTATATTTATTCTCACTTGCACGAAAGGGCATGTTGTCTGCACGGCCGCATTGGACTAGTTTGCATGCGAAGTAAACTTACGTGTCATTCCAAAGGCAATCCAGAAGACAGCGGAGGCGACTACCCCAACCTGGTCGCCACCCTTGGCATAAGCCCTCTTTGAAAGACGTGTCACTCGACCGAGGCAACAAATGCCCCTTCACCAGCGTCAGCGGGAACCAGAGGAAAAGAAGCCAAAAAAACGCCATTAATCAATCGGACACGCGTTTCATTGCACGAAGCGCTGCCCGAGATCCTGAGATGACCTGTATTTACAATTAGTCATCCGGCTTAAGGAATCCAGATGCGCTGTTGGGTTTCATGCACACATAACATTAAACGTTCGTTTTAAAATTTAATTTATACTCGCATTCATCGCGCTTCGGTGATGTGTACATTTTAGGGCATGGTGGTGCAGGCAAGAGTCGCTGCACTACAAGGTGACAGAGATGGTAGTACAAAAAATTGGTTTGTGAGCCCATCTGTTTGGATCTTTGTGTGTTATCCCCTCAGATGCACGGGTATATTTTTTTCTGAGTGAATAAGAAAAGACACTGGCGAAACATACCAAAGCAGGTCCCTCCTGAAATAATCTTAAGACCCAGTGAGGCTTTCCCAGATAAATTACATTATTATTTGAACACAGATGAAGCGGGGGTGCAGCGGTGTTCAATTGTAGTTAAAATATTTGGGATGGGTTCTCAAATTTTAGATCCTGAGCTGACCCACGGTTCATTGCTCCACGTTTCAAGAAAAGTCATCCTAACACTTTGTACGACATTTTGATTCACTGCAGCCAACTCTTGCTTGGTAAAACTGAACACATCCAGAGTGTGGACAACCTGAAAATTACCAAGATATTTTTTTTATTCATGTAAAGTTATTAACACAGGCAATTTCACACAATCCAGACGAAAAACAGGCTTAGTTGAACTGATCATTACCAAACTTTCCACACACGACCCTCCAACAACAACGGGTGAAACGCTGCAAAGCACTTAAGCAATTGATGAAATGAAAAATGAGAAAATTCCAGCTGCATTAGAAAGAACGCTATACCAGCAGACTATTTGTGTTGGCTGCAAAAGACTTAACGATAATGAATGCAGCATGGTCACTGGTCGATGGCTTGATGAGAATACAGTTGCTGGTGTTGATGGCCTAAAATGACCCCATTAAACAAACACATGCGGTGCAGTAGTCCAGCTGTAGACACAGCTGGAAGGGAACATGCAGATTTCATACATGACCAAACCGATACACGGTGAAAATTTCCATTACCTCATTGACTTTATTGAAAAGCAAGAACTTTTGAAAAAAAAAGATTTAAAACTGTATCTCGTTGCAGAAGAGTTCCATCAACTGCACGTGCGAACGCTTAAAATGCATGTGGGGATTTAACGTGGAAAAATGTAACACTTGAGTTGCATTTTTAGGCCAATGGAAGGGAGCACAGATGATTCACGGTCAACCAACCCCCACGAACTGCACATCTTGGGCAGGCCTTCAACCAGCAGTGGATGATCACTGATGATGATGGAAGGGAGCAAATGCACTCCAATGAAGCTTCTTCACAACTGTTGTGGATGTTCCTTGGGCGGGGGTCACTCTTCCAAGTCCTCGTTAAGACCATGACGAGCCTACGGGTCAAGATGCCATGACATCACCACGTGACGACGTCTCGGCCATCAGGATCTCGCTCCTCACTCGTCTTCATCCTCGTCGATGATCACTCGCTGCCTGGGCCGTCTCGCCGGTACGGCCTCGTCGCCCGAGCTGGAGTCGTCCAGACGGGTGACGACGGGGCGACTTCCTGGGGAGTCCTCCACCTCATCTTCCACCTTGTCCTCCATTGCCTCCGTCTCCTCAACCAGCACGCCTGCTGCTGCTGACGCACGGAATCAATCCCCGCAGGGCCGCTCTCAGAATTAAACGCAAATAGCAGAGATAACACCTGCACGGCACTGTCAAACACGCATGCGCTCCGTACCATTAAAGGCTCTCAAACCTGATGGGAATAATGATGATACGTGGGGTTCATTTTTCACACTGCTGCACGGGCACTTAATGAGTCAGGCCCCTGTTGCCAAGGCAGCTGTATCTGATGTGTTTTATACAATTAATGTAATGGCATGACTGGGTCCGTTTTTCAACAGCACGCATTATGGATGGATCGGTCAAAGTTGACGCGAAAGCGTGGAAAAACCCACGCAGCCTCATTTGGCTTCACGCTGTGCAGCCCGAGTTGAACCACGCGGTGAGAAATGTTTGGCGTGCGCCAGCAAGGGATGGGGTGAGGGAGACGATGCAGGGATACAGCAGACAGAGCAGACAATTAGGACTGACGGTATGCACTCTATTACACAGAGCAGTGGTGGAGCAAAAGGTACAATACCACATTCGTCTTGAATACTGCCCTAAAAGGAAAACTAAATAGACAAGAAGTGACTTTTTGTGCAATAGTCCTTTTTCAAAGCAGAGAGTGAGAGAGGCCGGAGAGACTGAGTGAACAATAGTTGGAGATTGCATGATACCCCGCGGGACCCTGATAAAAATCAGTTTAATAATGTTTATGTTTTAAAACTCTTACATTGACATATAAAGTTATCCATTAGCATATATTTAGTCATAGAATAACCCTTCAAAGGTCAAAAATACATCTATAAACTAATTTTCTATAAAAAGTCAAATTATCTTGTATAGAAAAGGATTTCTAGAGCAGATAATTTCTCTTCATATATTGTTTCCTATATTCTCCATGACTCCGATGATAATTTTGTGTTATGCAGTTTTGTGTTGAAAAGGACACCTCTAAAGACAGCGTCCCGTGCCTGTAACATCTGGCTGTTCACCAGCATTGATTCAAGCAAGCCTGACTCTGCTGATGAGACCCCGTATGCCAAAACCGCTCCAGTCTGTTTGTGCAGAACTGACATTGCCAAAATGACGAACTCCCCAGAACGCCATGCGACTGATGGGATGTGTAGAAAAAACAACGTCAGAAATGACAAGGAGGCGTGTTGTCTGCTCATTAGATACCCTCCGTGTCGTTGTCGTCGTCGTCGTCGTCGCTGTCGGGCAGCAGACGGGTACGCTTCGCCGGTCGCTTCTCCCCTCTGCCCCTGCGAATGAAAGCTCGCTCACATGAGAGGGCCGGCAACCCATTTCCCCCGACTTCTGCACGTCAACCTGTCATCTCGTGGCCTCAGCGGGGTAGTGCATTTGCCGCTTGTCGCGGGGGTCCCAGAGTTCGGGCCCGGCGGCCGCCCTGGTTGTTACCGCGGTTTTAATACCCACAGAAAATCCACTGCGAAGCCGTCTGCTTCACAGTGGATATTTTGTTTCACAGCGGACGTTAAAGCTCCCCTCTCAGTCCAAATTATTATGCCACTGTGTGCTGGCGTCATGGTCCGAATTGGCTAAATTCGAAAAATTACCGGCAAATTATGCATCGGGGATTACACATAGCAGAAATTATCGCCCTCTACTGGCAGACTAATGCCTGTTTGCTGGCAAAATGCTGAGTCCCCTTATGCCCAGAGGGATAGGTGCCACTGGGGGTGCCCTTTCAAATGTTTGACAAGAGATGTAAGTGACGCTAATCACATGCAAAGCGCTCCAAGTCTCCCCGGTGCTCTCTCAAAACAAATCACAGTATTATCTCGTATGCCCAGGTTCGACGAAAACTCTTCACCTCTTCTGCTCCTCCTCCTCCTCCTCCGAGTTGGTGTTGCGATTCCTTCTCTTCTTTTGCGGCTTGTCTACTGGCACCTTTGCTGGATGTAAACAGGGGTATAAGGAAAGTATATTTACCGTACGCCGATGGGTTGCGTGTGACAGCATGCAATGACGCGTTGAACCGTTGATTCAGAGCCATTCTCACGCTTACGGTGCATTCACCTCACCGTGCGTGTGACAATCGATTATTTGAAATTGTCTACGTTATATGAAAGTGGTTCACACGATTCCTGTAGCCACAAAGAGACGCTACATTCACCAATACATTAAAAGGAGAATCAGTTCTTGACTGAAATTTGATCCACGATTGTGTAAATGTATGCAATTGCAAGGCAGGGAAATCATTACATGTTCTAGTGAAACAATGTGGGTATGCTAACAATGTGCTATGCATGGCTTGCTGACCTGTACATACTGGACAACTGTAAAAAAAAGAGCTTCATAGCTCATCGGATCCCTCCGGTCTAAATAGAGAGTCTGAATGTTCTGAATACGTTGATTACATTCCACATTACAAGTATTCTAAGCATGATAGTCTTGAGACAAGGTGAGGCTTTCCGGAAAAAACAAATTGCATAATTTATTTATTATTATCACTGTAAAGCTATAATCCCTGCAGTCTCATTTCGAGGAGTTCCTACCACTTCTTGGGCACTACATTTTAGCACTGAGAGATAGAAAGATGACAGTCAGAGACACCATATTAAGAAAAGGCTTGGGCTGAACACATTTGAAGAAGAGTTGATAGTCTATGATTGAGACTAACAATGGAGTGTCAGAAGAGGAAACGCACCAAAGACCGAAGAATTTCGATCTTGTGTAGGAGCTAGATAGATTGTTCCATCACAGGACCATGGAACACGGCGATGGCATGGGGTGACCTTCATCCAGGTGTGGACCAATCATAGCTAATTATGATATCATGACTCTGCCAAAACTGATTATAATTAGAATAAAAAATAAACCGATGGGCCGAAAAAAAATCTGGGGATGCTTACCACGGCGTGATCGTGGTTCCCTCTGTTTGCGCCGCTTCAGGAGGGCCTGCAGGGCCTCGGCACGTCGTCCGCCACTCTGCGATATGACGCCATGTCCCCCGTCATCATCATCGTCGTCATCCTTGTCGCTGTCATCGTCGGGGACGCGGGCATGAGTGGACAGCGGGGGTGGGGACGACACTCGGCTGGTGTCGCTGTTTATCCCACGTACGGGGGACGGCACAGGGTCCGCCGCCGCTCCCCACGAAAGCTCCCCTTCCTCGGAGCTCTCATCTTGCGCCTCTCTTTCAGCGGCTGAATCGTCACTGACTTCGTCATTGTCTCCGCTGCCGGCGCCGTCGCCGTCACCAGCGTCAGCGTTGTCATCATCGCCATCATCATCATCATCATCCGTGAGGGCGCTCAGGCAATCGGAGATCTCGCGCAAGCGGCTAGGAGTCAGTTCTGCCGGTATTCTCCAAAACGTCTCCTGTCCACATGCACAGAAAAAAGCACTTTAAGTGAATTTAAATTAAGCAGCTCAAGAGACAAGGATAGTCTTATATGCAAAAGAGACCATGATCACCAAAATAAAAACCATGCAAATATAAATGATAGCAGATGTAACAATTAAACGCATTTGCATAATAGGGAAGACAATTTACAGATATTATTATTGTATGGCATATATAAATCCAAACCATATTGTAATGTATCGCCATTGATCACCGTGACAGGGAGGAACAGCGTACTTCGTGATTGGCCGGCGAGCACACACCCAGCGCGCGTAGCAACCGACGGAACACCCGGTTCTCCATGGCGTCCTCGTTCTCCTCCGAGAGCGGCACCAGTGGCACCGGCAGGGAGATCCCTGCATGTCAGTGTGTGTAGGAGTGGAGGGGGTTAGATAGATGTCACCAGTGAACCACTCAAACATAACGCAAAAGCTTCGCAGGGGGCAGCTGACTGAACGGTCTCTGCTGTCTTTGGCCGGGCAGCTTGGATGCCAGAGTGCCGAGCTGACACCGCTGAGTTCCTGTGTTCAAATCCGGGTTTCAGCCGCCCAACTTGTGGTTAAACAGGATTTGAAGCATCGTGAGTTGATGGGTACACAAAGAAAAACTCATCACGTAAAATTTGTTTCTGTAGTTAATTTGTTTCAATTCCAGCTTTGAGATAAAAAAAAATATACATATTGGCGTGAATGTCATGCGGCAAACATTACTCTAAGTGGCAGGGCAGGTGGACCAGAGGTCATATGAAAGGATCTCAGAGTTAGCTTTGTGATATCTGCGCTTCTGTAGGTTCTTCTCTACCAAGAAGGGTGCTACTGCTCTACAAGAGAGCTGAATGTGTACTTCGTGATATGACACCGATTGCAGAATCGATATACAATTGGTGAAAATGTATAAAAAGCAAAAGGACTTTGGTGTCCCACCATCCTCTTCCCGGTCATCGGCTGTCCGTCTCAGGCAATTTCCAAGCCACAGTACAGGCTCCGCCAGCCCTGCCAAAGAAATTCACACACACACACACGGCATCAGAAAAGTCAGTAGAATAACAAATCTCGTATTAGCTGCTGTCAGAAATTCTTTAAATAAAAGCACTCGGAATAGTGGTGTAGCACGGTTGGCATGCCATCACCCCCCCTCCTCCCCTTCTCTGTATCCCAGTGTTTGGGCCCCAGAGCAGTTACACCGCCTGCACGCTCATTAGCTACGGCACCGACTCGGGACGCAATAGCACCTCCTCTGCGAGCCTTCGACACCAGCTTGCGCAGCTCAGCAGGGCTGGTCTTCACAAGCGGCCGGGATTTTCTGCGAGCATTCCGGTTGCCTCCCTGACTCTTCCTGGGGCGGACGGGCCCTGCCCGGGCGGGCCCTGCCTGGGCAGGCCTTGCCCCGGCAGGCCTTGCCCCGGCAGGCCTTGCCCCGGCTCGCTGGATAGGTTGATCGTCATCGCTGCTCCCTTCGTCCTCGCTGCTTTCTTTCTCATCGTCGGAATCCACATCTAGATGATCGTGGTCATCGCCCCATGGGTCGGCATTGTTGTTTGAGTTGGCCTGTAGGTGCAATGACAAGACATCAAATGCAGTGACAGATGCACACACGCATAATTGTCTCAGGGCCCTAATTTATGCTAATGTCTGACAAAGAGGGATATAATGATCGATTCATTGATATAAAACAATTCGTATCTTCACAATGGATACGTCAAATCTTAAGGGCGAAGATTGTTTATATTTGAGTCACGTGTATTGCTTGTAATTGGTTCTTAGAAACCATGGAGTGAATATAGATAGTAATCCATCACAAGCAGAAAGTAATAAGATATGTGTATTGAATCCATGGACGTAAAGAGGCGGTGAACTCTAATAAATACATTCCTAAGTAAAGAAATTCTAAAATAAAATCATCATCATCAGTATCACCATGAGCCATGATTTATACACCTCTGGATGAAAGCCTCCCCAAGTTGTCAACATCTCTCACCCTGGCGCTACAAAGAATAAGAAAATACACACACACACATGCCCAAAGAAATCAGGTGCACAGGACTGCAATACCATGGGACCTCCTTTGCAAGTACCACAATATGAGAATAGGTTTTCTCCTTTTAACTGGCAACAAAACAGGTGTTAAGATGTTAAAACACCAAACTGAATTATTTTACAAGGAATCATGTCGGCATTAACCACAATACTTGTGGTCAGAATGCAAACAAAAAACACTGATAGTATATGCATTGTCTTTGAAACTGATTGGTCCACACCAGAGACAGCTTTAACACCTGTTTTGTTGCCAGAAAAAATGGGAAAACCTATTCTCAGTACTGCAATAGCGCTGCATTTGTGTGCAAGCGGAATTGCTGCCAACCTTGCCAGAGGACTTTCCGGAGCTCTTCGATGGGCGTTTCCGGCGCAGCTGTGCCCGGTCAGATACCAGGCCCATGCTCAGCAGCTTGTCCGCCACCTTCTTGCGTGACCTCTTGGCCGTCAGGTTGCGCACGATGTTGTCCAGCAAGTCTGTGGCAGGTCGGAAGAACACTTACCACCATCAGGGCCATCAAACACCACCACCCCCCCCCCTCCCGCGCGAACTGGCACCACATTCAAACGGAAGCTCAAGCAACAACATGCGCATTTACACGTTTAAATTAAAGTACATGTGCAGTACAATGTGTTGCACATCTAACAGCTCCATACCTGTCTTGACCATTTAAGCGGCCCCACCAAGCGCAGTGTTTCTGCACAGTGAAACTGTAACTCTACACATACATTCACAAATTCGAACTTTTTCACACACAGTGATGACTTCTTAATCTTATGTACATCTGCTTACTTACATTGTACAGTGAAGCATTTTTCCCTGTTTGAACCAGTTTGCAAACACATTTTGTCGAGTATTACTTTTCTGTACATGTTCACACATCTAAATCCCCCAGCAAGTCAGATATATGACATTATACTGTAAAACCTGTTAGTCCGTTGCTGGATGAAAGCCTCCCCATGCTGAGCGGGTCCTTGGCAGTTATTTGACCATAGTGACCTCTGCTGCCTACACTGTAACCTACAACACCTGTTAGGCATGGTGATGGCCCATCCCAACTTGCCTATCGTCAGACACATTACAAGACCAAGCGCATTCCAGATGATTTAATCATAAGCAAATTACAGTGTTTGAATAAGGAAAAAAAACTTGATGAAGAACCATAATTACAGTTTAGAGTCTTTAATCACTTCCTCTGATCATAGATACATAATTAATGCTTATTCAAAATTAATATGTAAAATAGCCTGGTCCTAATTAAATGTTCAAGCTACACAAAAAAACTCATTAAAAACTAATCGGCCACAATCCCAGTGGTGGACACTCCTGATAAGTCACGAGACTCGGCGAGGCTCTCCCCCATGAATCAGAATATTTACATCAGAATATTTATTTACACTGGAGAAATCCGATGAGCTGTAAAGCTCTTTTTTCACAGATGTCCAGGAGGGTCAGGGTCAAAACTTTAAAACAACAAACAGTACAAAAACACGAGAGGAGTGCAAAGTAAAAAAAAATCACTTAAAAAAATATACAAAACGAAATATTTTTTTTATCCTACCAGGTAAAGCTCACTGAGCTATTAGCTTATTTTTCAGAAGTGACCTGCTCACAAATGGTAGCTCAACAAAGTGGCTTATGTGGAAATTTCAAGCAGCAAAATAATCTAAACGCACGTTTCTAATTGACTTGCTCACGTTACCGTCGGCGGAAGTGGCTCTACTAGGGGGAGCATTGATGAGGCCCTTTCGAGGATATTATGGCCTATTCTTCCATGATGGCCAGACGTCTTGGGAAGAGTATGCAGTACCCACACTTTACACCTGCCACACATGACCTCTCGATCGACTGTGGTGAAACTATTCATGGATGGGCAAAGGCGGGGGCGGACTTCAGAAACTGGGTCAATGTTGCCACTGCTGTGCCAAGAGAGAGACCCGCAAATATCTGGTTTGCAAATTCAAGTCTAATAACCATGACACCACAATACATCCCTCAGTGAATAACTACATCATTATTATTAAATATAATACCAGCTGTGTGCAATCACAGTCGGAGTCATGATGACTTTTGAAACTACTCAATGAAATTACTCTATTATCTGTGGTGTGTTTTTTTTCAACAGTTGCCAAGCAAATAACCCAACGGTGCAAATACGTCAAGCAGACAGCAACAAACAGCACTTTCCTTTCAGTGATAGGTAAGCGTTAACATGTGTCTTGAATTGAGCAAGGCTATAAGAGCTTGGGAAAAGAGAAGATGGGAGGAAATTCCAAAATGGAGCAGTGCGAAGGAAGAAAGAGAATTGTGACCTACAGTGTGATGGTTACAGCTTGGATGAGACAAAACAGTCGAATTGGTAGATCGAGTCCTCAACACGGGTGGAGGAATCAACGAGTGAAGTTCATGGGAACGGTAACTACGATAGTCACGATAGAAGAGTGGTATGGAGGCGAATTAATGCCGGTAAACCAGTGACTGGAGTGAGAGCGTGGTTGAAGCCAAGTGCTTGCGCCAAGCGGTCACCATCGGATTTGTGGAATTCCTCGAAGAGACGTTGCAGCTCCATCTCCTGCTCCTCGCGCCACAGCACCAGCTTGACGCCCTTCCTGCCAGGTGAAGAAGACACCTGGCGTCAGCCCACCGCACAGCACGCGTAGCATTCACCCTGCGAGATTGAGCATCCCCAACCACCCCCCCCCGCCCAGGTGGAACAGCTATTGAAAGACGCTTGTGCCAAACACAGTGCCACAGCCCACTACAAGCCAATCCCTCGCCAGTTCATCATTGGGGATTAATGTCAGCTGGGTCTCAGGATGGGCAACCCAGAAAATATTTCTGCACCCGGAACACCAATCAGAATGCCTCTTGCTATGAACGTGATTACTAGTCATGCTCCACCTACTCTAGGCACCAGTTACTTGGGAAATATTCAGTGAAGAATTAAGGCCCTGATTGTCATCAGCCATGATCAATCAAATTGGGCGAAGGCCTCCCCAAGCAGTTGCCATTTCTCATTGTCTCATGATGCAACATCCAGCAAGCTCTTGCACTTGAGCCGAATTAATTGTTCCATCTCTACAGTGGACAAACTCTCGGGCATGTTCCCTCCTTTGGCTGCAACTCCGTTATTGGTATTGATCATCGACCATCAAACTTTCAAGTAACATGTCCTGCCCAAGCCCACTCTCAACCACCCAAGTGGAATTCAGCTGGGGGCAGTGGGTGATTTACGGCAGGGTGTGGTTGGTGGGTGTGACGTGGTGCTCCCAAGCGACCTGCGCTTGAGTTCCTTGGACGAGTTGACCAGACCCTGCCGCACCAGCTGGGCCACGATCTGCTTGCGCGTCCTCGTTGCATCCCTGATGCGTTCCATGATGTGGTCTACAACATCCTTATCTTGACTCCCTGGTACACAGCACACGAGAGAAACACACCCACAGACACACATATGCACAAAGATACACACAGGTACACAACAACAGCTGCCATACGCCGCTAAGTGACGGTGACGTCACTTAGCGGCAGGTCACACACAGATCCAGCTGTTTTATATATTCTCAGAGATGACAGGCATATACACCACCTGTGTTCACGACAGACACATGAACAGATTCACGTAAAGTTCCCCCGTGTCGCCTTACAGACTGTTGGGGCAAATATTATTCGTGAGCACCTATTAAAGCTGACACGGCATATAGCATGCGTGGCCGCCTGTTTCTTAAAAATAGAATTAAACAATGCATCAAGACGTTAAAAACCATGTGAAAAGTAATACATTCTTCAATAGAATCTTCATAATTGACCTTATCACAGCAGAGGTGGGCCGGCGAATCGTTAATAACATCTCACAACTTACCTCCAATCTGGTCCTGGAACTCTGAAAACAGCTTGTCAAGCTCTGTCTGCTCCTCCTCCGTCCAGCGTGGGCCCTTTTTGCTCAAGCCACTGCACACACGCGCGCACCAGCACCAATTGGAACGCACATACAGACATTCGGGGTGTTGAAAGTGGGCAAATATTCGCAATATTTTTTTGACAAATACCGAGTTTGACGACTGCACCTCACCCTCCATCATGAGCCGATCCGTAGCCCTCGGTCATCTCGTGCACATTGGCCGGCGACTTCCAGAACAGTAGCTCCACAAAGCTCTTGTTGTTCTGTGCCGCCACTTCAAAGAACTTACGGACAATGTGACGCGCAAACTTGGACAGCTCCTGCGACAAAAAAAATACACAATGTGCCTTAGTGTTACATGGACATTTTATCTCTGTAGAAATGTTACTGTGGCTCATGCACTGCCCATATGTTCACGTTTAATGCCATGGGACTCATCAGTGAAGGTCCCCCCCCCCCCCCATGAGAATGACCTGTGGCTCGTTGGTGCTGGTCTGGCTGTGCCGGCTGTCCCTAGTGCTTGTTGTTGGTGCTGTGTCTGCCATGACGGCCCTCCCCTTAAACCTGCCCATCTACCCAACAAGTTGGTAAAAACACAGCCGAAAAATAATCGATTTGAATCGGTTTGCCACCAATCGTGAATTTGTTAACAATTTGTTGCTGGATGGCTGAGCTGTTATGCAACTGTTACCTGGTACACGTGAGCGGCGGGGTCCGCTAGTATGGCCTGGAAGACGCGGAACGCGGAGAGCTGGAAGAGGAGCCCCTCCATGTGCAGCCCCACAGTGACACGATGTAGAATGACCACGATGCAGTGGTTGGTGTGTGCGCTGTTCTCACGGTAACCCCGCAGTAGAGACATGCATGCCTTCATCACGGGTGCGCTCGCAAACCTGCAAAGTGCCAAACTGTCAGTCGCCAGCACGGGTGACCACCGCACACCAAAGATCAAAACAAACTGCGCATCCGCGCGGTATATTTATTATAGCCCTTTTGTGAAATCCACTGCTGGAGGAAGGCCTCTTCACGCCAAGTCAGCCATAAGGGTTGTTCTACAGTGTGAGTTAGTGAAGGGGACCGGTTCAGATTTTGTTTGCCGTTGATGTTAGCCGTGGTCAGGAACTAAACCCAGATCATTGGGTTCGTAGCACAGAGCGCTAACCACTGCATCACAAATCTTCCCAACGTCCTCTCACCCGGTTTTAGAGGTCATCTATCTTAAGAAAAAGAAATCAGTGGCCACAGGTGGCTGCCAAAGTCATTTTAATAACGTTGCCAACATGACATAGTGATGAATGTGTGGTATGATTGAACTGCCAAAACCTACATTTTCTTAAATACACATTCAAGTAATTTTATAAACCATGTGGTATTTATTTATTTATCGTGAGAGAACTAGATGGTGGTATTCGCAAAATTTCACACTTTATATCCCATGTTTACATAGGACATACAGTGTACCTATACATACATGATGGCCTGGCCACTTTATCTTCATTGCTAAATGTAAAAAAAACAACAGGAGGTGAATATGTTAAAACCAAGTAAAATGAGAGAAAATAAAACATCTATTTTAAACCCACTACAATTGCTGGATAACCAAAAGATCCTCTGCACTATCGCTTCCCTTTTTCTGTTTTAAAAACTATGAACTCACGACCTTAAGATCTAACGTGTAACAATGAGCATCACAGTATTTCTGCGCAGCTCGATTTCACGTGACAGAAAAAAAAAGTGCCGTGCACGCGGTGACGGGGCGGTCACGTGACCCATGGTGCCTGCGAAGGGGCGTTGCGCAACGTGCACCACTCAAGTACAATTACATCACTTCACTTCATAAGTCCCAGGAACATTTTAATAAGGGAAAATTGCCATCATTTTTCAGTGGAGGAATATGTAATTTCGCCCAGTTGTGGTGCAATGAGAATGACCCCGCACCGCTTGATGTATTCCGTGAAGTTGAATTCCTTCTCGCTGACGGACACGGCCTCCACCTCCTCGTTCTCCTCCTCCTCCATCTCCTCCGGCCCAACGTCATCCTCCACCGGTACGTCTTCAACCACCGATGCCGAGAGGGCAGCTGGCACACCAACAAACCGCGCACGCCCACATTGCACATCTTCCTCTCTACTTTGAAAATGAGTTCCTGAGCACAGAAAAATTCGGGCCAGGCCAGGAAGCCAACTGGGGTTGACCAATAAATAGATAAACCTGCTGCCAGAATGGCAAATCGAGTTAATATTTGAGTGATGTAGCTCATTGAAACTCATACATGTGCATTTGTCTGGTTACGATTGCACCTTATGCACGCACATATGCATGCAGGTGTGTGCACGTACGTACAGGGCAGCTTTGCGGCATGGATCTGTCGCAGGAGTTCCAGCTCATCCTCCGGGGTTATCCCCACCGCCCCAAACACCTCACCCTCGGGCCAGACCTCCCTACAATAACCAACAGCACACAAGGCCCATCCCATATCACACATACAGAAGCCACCTGCTGGGTTCTGGATCAGTGTTTCTCAATTCCAGTCCTCGTGACTATCACAGTCTGCCTTTATCTGATTACCAATATTTTCTATTCATAAGCAAGTTATGCCGGTGTATACTGCATGCAATGGATTTACTATTTTTTTTTTACAGTTAAGGCCCACTGAGCCATAGAGCTCTTTTTCAGAAGTGACCTGGCCACAAATTATAGCTCAAGTGATTTTTTATCACGTGGTTCAGATAATCGTTACTGGTGTTGGCTGTGAGCATGAATCGAACTCCTGCAGTTGGGTTCGTAGCGCAGGGCGCTAACTGCTGCACTCCCCATATATTTACCTTTGTTTACCAGGTAAATCCCACTGAGCTATACAGCTCTTTTTCAGAAGTGACCTGGCCACAAATTATAGCTCAAGTGATTTTTTACCACGTGGTTCAGATAATCGTTACCGGCCACAAATGATAGCTCAATGAAGTGGTTTATCATGTGGAAAATTATAGCAGCCAATTCGTCTAAATGCATGTTTCCAAATTTGGAGGGAAAAACTGGAGGACCAACAGAACAATCCACGTGACCACGGGGAGACCATGCAAACTCCAAAATATACAGGCGTCAGGGTCAGGATGGAACCCACTACTTCCTGTATACCAGTTAACACATCTAGGCAGAGTCCGGGGCTGTCTGACAAGAATTTCAAGTTTCGTAAATGAGAAATTATGACTGGAGTTAAAGTCCAGAGCTTTTGTAACATCACTGAACCAGTCCGAGTGATGCCAAAGGGAAGTCATTAGAGCCGAAGAAGGACTTTAAAATCTCTGTTTCTCATAAACGAAGCTTCAAATGCAAGACGTACATTCGGGGACACACAGGTATTAGACAAGTAACAATTCAAAGTAGGTTGTGGTTCAATTCCAGAACTAATTATTTATTTTGCCTCATATGTACCATCTCACAAGTACAATTGTCAAAAATATAAAAGCTAATCAGTAATTTACTTTCACGATTTGATGCATACATATCATGAGCATAAGAATACACGTTATATAATGTATCGACAAATGGTTATATACTACATATTAACTAAATACGAGCTACTGTCTGGGGCATTTTTGTCTTTAACCAATACCGCTCGCAAAATGGGAATGCTGGAGTAAGCCGACTGGTGGTGGTGGCGACGATGGAGGGGGGGGGGGTACACGCACCTCGCGGAGCGCAGCAGGCCGACCGCGGTGCCAGCTTGCCCGGCGAGCAGTGCCGCCTGGATACGAGCAGTGGCCTGCCCACGCTGCTCCTCCACAGGCACTTCCGACGCCGCATCAAACGGCACCGCGCTGTCCGGCACGGCCTCCGCACCCTGTGTGATTTCACCCTCTCGTAACCTTGGTGGGTGCTATAGTTGCTTGTAAATGTTCACAACAGTTTATATACAAATTTGGGGAATAAACAATTCGGATGGCACTTATTATTGTCACGTCTCAATCGTATTGGTGAATGAGGGCCACATCATCAATCTCACCAGCAGTGCCATGAGCTAGTGAACACAATTGTCCATAACATTGCCTAAAAATAATAAAATGTATAATAGCTGACGTTTTGGGCAATGACCCTTCTTCACAGCAAGATCATCAGTCTACAAGATGTCTTCAAGATCCTCCATAGAATCTACTACTGGCCTGCATGCATTCTCCTACCTCTCCCCTCTCGTCTCACTCTACTCCTCTCCAAGCACTCTCCACTCCACCAACCAAAGCTTCCTGTCAAAGTCCCCAGTCAACCTCTGCTACATGGAGGCTCACTCTCCCTCTGCCACCGCCATGGTCTAGAATTTCCTCACCTCAGCCATCCGTGCTACCGATTCTATGCCTCTTCCAGTTCAGGCTAACTGCCTATGACCGAGTGCCTCTATAAAATGCTCTTTCTAGCGGATTTTGGTATGCAATCGAGTTGATATGCCATATACAACCAGATTGTAATTGTAAATTCTATAAAAACCCAAATTGTAAAAATAAAGCTGTATCTCTCTCATATGAGAATGGGGAAGTGTTTATTTACGTGCTTGCAGCCCTGATTTAAGTGGTAGACATTCCACATTTATAAGGCAGGGGGTGAGTCCATCCATGGAATAGAACCTGTAGACTTCCCACAAAGTGGTACTCATTTTATTACCCAACTAGGATAAAATCTCTTTATATTAAAAGTGGGATTAAAGTACGATTGATAAACAAGTATTTTACAACAGAAGATCTACATGGATATTTTATGCAAATTGGCCATAGCAGTTATGCACTGTGAGCTCCATTATTTGCCAACTGCACCACCAACGTCAGCAGTTGTTAATTCAGATAACTGGGACCCAGGGACTGTTCTTATCAATCAATAATTTCTCACAACCAGGTTTAACACAAAGGGGTCTTTGTCAACCTTAATATATGTCATGGATTGATGCTCGAGTGACAGGTCAGACTTATGCTGTTATCTTATCTCATATAGCACCTTTATCCAAGGCGCTTTAAAAGGGTTACGAGTGATACAATGAGGGTGGCTAAAAGTGATATGGTGAATAGGGTATGGGGAAGGAGGTTTGTGGGTACGGGAATTATGGGGGTACCTAGGGATGGGAGGAAGGATGGGCCAGGCAGAAGAGGTGGGTCTTGACGGAGGAGCAGAAACAAGACAGAGGGGAAGTTTGTTCCAGTGCATAGGGGCAAGTAGGGAAAAGGAGCGGAAATGGGATTGTGCAAGAAAGGGGGGAACGGTTAGGAGGATATTGAGAGCGGAGCAGGCGGGGACATAATACGAGACGAGAGAAGCAAGGTACGGAGGGGCAAGGCCGTGGAGAGATTTATATACTTATTACTCTATAACCATTTTTCAGTCCTTCTTCACTCCTTGACATCGCACAGTGAGCCCAGCCGAGCACGGGAAACATCACGGGACCTTGTGCCGAGAGGAAGTTCACGCATAGGTTGAACATTGACCTCCAAAACCTGGAGTTCACGCGACTGTATGGATTACGGTGAAAGGTGCCGCCCTACAATTGCTTGCTCACACTTCTGGTGGAAACGCCTCTATTAAAGGGAAGGCTATCGAGCCTCTCTTGAGGGTTTTTGACCTACTCTTCCATGCTTGGCAGACGTAGAGGTTAACCACCGTTTACTCCACCACAATCATCCTGCCAATTAAATTAATTTGAAGGATTGATGCAATACCCATCCTGCCTGTGTGTGTGGCCCCTTTGGCTCACCTGTGCATAGGCGATGAGCTGCTGCGACAGCTGCTGCCACTGGGCCTCGCACTCCTCAGGGCTCCTCTCACTGCTGGACGGCTGTGCCTGCGCTCTGCTCTTCTTTTTGCGCTTCACTCGCTTCTTCTGCAATGTGAGCAGATCCCAGAGAGACAGCAGCAGCCAGCCAGTGAGTGAGAGGGCAAAATGGCCCCAAGTTATCAGCTGCCAGGTCGAAGGTACTCAGGGAATTGTGTTTCTACATCCACCGTTTTGGTGGTGTATGCCTGTGACCCAGCAGGACCCTCATGAAAATAACCTTGAGACTTTGGTGGATAAATAAATTACATTTATATTATTTTACGATTTCTAAGCAATGGCAAACATGAATATGAACATACAGGCCGCAGATAACATCAGTGGTGGGTGATATCTCAACTGGTCTTGACCACCTCTTCACCAACACACATTGACCATCCTGGTGAAGTATAACCAAACGATCCGCATTACAAACATGACATGGGGAGGCCTTCATCCAGCAGTACATTGACAAGTCGTAAATCATGATTATTAACAATAATACATTTTCAATGCATAAATCATTGGATGGCCATGTTCCGACAAAACGTCTGCACACGTGAGCACGCACACGTGAGCACGCACACGTGAGCACGCACACGTGAGCACGCACACGTGAGCACGCACACGTGAGCACGCACACGTGAGCACGCACACGTGAGCACGCACACGTGAGCACGCACACGCCCGCACGGGCCCACGTGCCTGCACGACCACGGCTTTGCGGCCGCGGCAGAAGCGCTGTAGGAGGCGCAGGAAGGTGTGCGTCGTCTCCACGAGGTCGCGCAGAAACGAGCGCGGCTGCTTCGTCTCGTCAAACTTGCGGAAGAGCGTCACGAACAGCTCGCGGTACTCCATCACGTAGAACAGGTTGCCTGCGTGGCGCCGACAACAATGAGCATTGTATTATTGCAGCGTCGCCTTGGGATGAAGGGAATGTATGTGGAACTTCTTTTGCACCGTACATAGCAAACCACGCTAATTTGAGGTGCAAGGAAAAAGACAAAAACTAAAGACAAAAAGCAGTTCAAAAGAAATGAGTTTTAAATCTCGATTTAAAAGTGCATATCTCCAGTGGCTTCCTAATATCGGAAGGAAGAGCGTTCCAGACGGCTGCAGAAGCGCATCTGAACGCGGGCGATGCAGTAACCGAACACACTGCACCTCTGACTAGCACGGTTGACTACATACGGTGTTGAAGTTCAACATACATACACTGCCGAGACTCACTCTTAATGACATTGCCGCTCTCTCGCACGCTCTCCTCCTTGGACTTGTCCATCTCCTCCAGTGTCATGATGAGCTCCTGGTAGGCTTTCAGGGCCAGGTGCATCCTGCCACACACACACACGATCCCAACACAGCCACACCGTCACGACACTGCAAGAACCTCATGTGCTCCCACATTCACTTCTCCGTGCATATCAAGATTCACGATTGACTCTCATATCAATGAACAATGTACAAGGGATGCAGCAATTCAGCCACTACCATTTTTAAAATAATCATGATTCATGGTCATGATTCATTTAGAAAATTTATTTATTTTTGGTTGATTGTGCAGTATGTAAAATCAATAGTGGCCGCAGGGTTTCCATAAAGCAACCACAATCAACTATCATGACTGTATTAAAGAATTTTAATCAACGAATTCAAATCTTGTGGAAGCACTGACCACACCATCGTCTACATAGCAGTGAACCACCGTGAACTCCGAAAATGCGATGGAGCCATCGAAGCAATCCAAGACACATCAAATAAGCCTTTGTCTGGCTAACTAATATGGATATATAGACTTCTACCATCAATCAACCAGACAACCTGGAGCAAGTTGATTGATGATCCAGCACTCACTGATTCATTCCAGTCACTTGCTCGTTGGCAGTCAGTCGCTTTATCACGGCAGCCAAGGGAATGGTTCCCATGAACTACTCATTGATTTCCTCCACCCATGGTGAGGACCCAGTCTACCACTGTTTTGTTTCATCCATCCTGTGTTCAACCACCAAACTGGAGATCAAAACACAAATCTTTATACGTCTTTTCTCACACCACTCGACTTTCGAATTCCCTCCTCATCGATAAAAACGTGTTAACCATCCCGTCATACACACAAGGAAGATATGATCATTACATGCGAAGAACAAACACACACGCGCACGCACACACCTGCGGGACCACGGCAGGGCGTCCTTCTTCTCCATGAGCATCATCTCGTAGCAGTTGGTGAGGTTCTTCTCGATGAAGTGGAAAGTGCGCACGCCCACTGTCTCGGACACCAGCTCGGGGCGGAACCCTCGCAGTCGGTTGAACTCCATGAAGAAAGCGAGCGCCCACATGTAGTAGCTCTCGTCATTCTGCTGCCCCTTCTCGAGCAGCAGTGTGTCCTGTCGCCCACAGCAGGACAGCGTGATTGTGTGCGTGCGCTAATATGTATGTTGAACTTCTTTCACACCATACGTAGCCAACTGTGCGCATCAGAGATGCGGGGGAAAGACAACAAACTAGGTAGCAGGCTTCCTTCCATATGGCTCTTTTCACGTACATTGCCATAATTACTTTTGGGGTGAAGCACTAGAAGGGTGGTTCATGCACTGTCGCTCTGAACCCAGTAACTGGAGCTCAATTCCCGGCCACAGCTAACACCAGTGGCGAGTGATATCTGATTTGGTCCTCAGACCCCACTTCACCAACCCACACTCATCAGCGTGGTGAAGTATGGTAAAATAACCCTGACGACCCACGTGGGGAGGCCCTCATCCAGCAGGAAATTGATAAAAGGGCTGTGCACATATTACAAATGACCCACTAAGTATTGATGAAAAAACATATTTTCAGTTAGTTTTAAATCTTCCCAACGCTGCATTTTCAGTTTGCCGTGCAATGAACACACCCCATGAATGGCCGTGTGCAGCACCCCGTATGTGGCAAAGAGACAATGGAAGGGACCTCAGTAGTAGTTCTGTGAAGTCTCTATCATAGGCCGTTCTCTCTATCGCGGCACAGTTGCATCCGACAGCATCACATTGTCACGTTGTCGCTCGTTGCAGTGTTTCAAACGCCTCTGTGCCCAAGGTGCCGCATGCTACGCCACTATTTTTTTATGTTCCAAAACATTGGTGGCTGTGACCACGCTGTGACGGCCGCACCTTCACACTGTACATGAGGCGGTTGTAGCAGGCATCCAGGAAATCGATGCAGAATGTGCGCAGGAAGAGTCGCACGTTCATGGCCGAGCGGCGTCGCTCTTCAGCCTCGGGCGCCAGTAGGCGCCGTTTGGGTCTCCGCTGGGGCTCCTTGCCGATGTCGTGGCTGTATCCTGCCAGCTGCAGGAAAAACCGCCAGAGTGGCACGCGCAAGGACAAGGGTTTTAAACTAAATCCTCATCAATTGTTCTACTCGTTACCAAGCATCCGTGACCTCGATGTTAAAGCTATTCCACTTTGCAATTTGGGGTTTTTGCTATAACTTTGGTGAACTGTCCTGGTTAAATCTATAATACTTTATGTTCATCTCATTCTATCTCAGTTCCTTTTTCCTTCCATTAAAAATAAAATCTACATTTTGCAGGTGTCCCCAACACACCGACAGCTCTTGATTTTGTTGCGACTTTAAACAAATAACCATAACCTTTTTCAATATCCTGCCAAGGCCCGTGGTGGAATGCGACGCAAACGTGTTGTGTCGTGGCCTTGGGATATCTCACCTTTTGAACGCCAAGGTGAAACACCAGGTCGTTATCGCTGATGGATTTGTGTCCTTGGACCACGTACGTGCCCACAAACCGAGAGTGCCTGCCAACACAAACACGTCCAACTTTGAATCTAGAGGTGGACAGAGGGGACTAATGTATCCCAATAAGTGTTCAAGTAATTGTAAAGTTAATACTTAAAACTTCAGTGAAAAATGTGTGAATGAACGCAGAAGATACCACCTGGCCCAACAATTAATTCAGCAAATATTGCTGAAGGAAGTACAGTTGGATGTGCTGGGCGATTTTAATACAGTCTTGTCTTTTTCCCCAATTGTATTGAGACTGTGTTATCGGCATCATGTCACGAGACGAAAAGCCCATGCGGAAATCTCAACCCGATTGACGTGCATCAATTAATCGACGCATCGTTACAAGCCTAATGCCTATGTTTCACACTGTGCGCAGTGACTGAGCAGGATGCCTGCATATGTTTCGTGGTTGCGCTTTATAACTTTCCGACGCGTTTCCGGATTGCACTGCGCGTTGCTGGAGAGGATGTCCGACGTGCATGCCGCTCCGGGTGCAGCCCAGCACGTTAAGCAAAGAAGCCGAGCCATTACGCGGTACAAACCAAAGTAACGCGGGACGGCTGCCCGAGCTGCCGCCCGCAACCACGCGCGCGCCGCACCTGGAGCTCCGGTGCCACATGCGGTTGCGCTTCTCGGCGAGCTCTCTCTGCCGCAGCAGCTCTAGCTCCGTGGTGTCGGCCTCCTTCTCCCGTTCCGGCCTCGCTCCGCCCGTGCTCACGAGCTGAGATGGGGTCTGGAAGAGACGGGGAAAACCGCCCACACGCGATGTCTCGCACCGGTCGGTGAACGAGTGCGCAACAACGCTGGTCTACCGGTTTGTTCACGAGGCGAACACAAAAATCTTCGCACCTCTAGTAAATTAGTTGTCAAGACGACGGACAAACTCTTGCACTTTGAGATGCGTTGACAAATGTACGTGACGTACTTTTAGATGCGTTGGCCACATTTATGTGATGTTCAAAAGTGCCGCAGTAAATATCTCTTTCAAAGAAAACCCCGTTACATCCATAACAAATAAATGTATCCCATTCACATATTATGTTGCTTTTATATAACCAAAGTTATCATTATATATTACATAGGTGTAGACAGGCGTGTACACGTGGCAGCACCTGCATGCGGAACATGAGGCAGACGATCTCCAGCACATGCATGCACCACTGCTGCTCGCTGGGCGCGCTGCACAGGAAGCGCAGCAGGTCGTCCATGCCGCTCATGTGCAGCGCCCACAGCACGCGGTCGTGCAAGCTGGCGTCGTCATCCACGTTCTGGGGCACACGTGCAGTCGAAACGTTGTGAGGGAGGCCGCAGCCCAAAATGTTTTATCGTAACAGGTTCACCAGAATTGTTTCACACAAGCCTACCTATGCTGATGAGATGGTGTATGACAACACCGGTCCATAGTGTGCTTGTGCTGAACCAATGATGCTAAATGTATGCATTCCAAGAAGGCTGTGTGGCTGATGGGATGTGTAAAAAAAAATATTTTCATACGGAGGGAGCAAAATTAGCACGGTTGGCTATGTATGGTGCAAAATCAGTTTTATATGCAAACATTCAAGATTTGATCATTTTATATTCACGTCAATTGGTGTCAATTATTCTTCTCGATTTGCCGATGTCTAGGGAAGGCCTTCAACCAGCAGTGGACTGATCATGGCTGATAATGATAATGGTCACAATGAAGAAGATATAACAGAAGAGGATCAAATATCACGTAATTCACAATCCGTTACATTCATTGTGAGAAAAAAAAACTATTTTGGGACATGCATACCTTCTCCAGGGTAGGATCTGGGGGCACGTGCATGACATTTCGGACAAGCAGGAGCATACGTTCTATCAGTAACGTGTCTTCCTCTTGCCTCTGCTCCCATTCCTGTGCACAGTGAACATAGCAATTAGTGGAAAGAGGCATCCACAACCATTGTACAGCATACGGCCTTGTGTTCAGTTATGCAGGCTACGCTACACCGTGAAGATGTTTGCGTGAGCGAGAGTTAGTTCATGTGAACTGACCAGCTGAAGTAAGTTGTAGAGGGTCTCGCTAAGAACGGTGAACACCTTCTCGTTGGCAAACGCCTATGGAAAGCAGACACACGAGGAAGTCAGATTCACATGTTTTCTGCTTTAGCAAGCAAGACCTGTTAAAGCCCTCAGTCAACCTCCGTTAAAAGGGGGGGTTTCTTCTTCTCCACTGCTGCCTCTACTATCTGGAACTGTAATCTTACATTCCACAATGCTGACTCTACCCACAAGTAAAGTCCAGGCTTAAGACCTCCCTCTTATCTTCAGGACTAACAATGTTCACCTTGCCAAACGTCTTATGTAGAACTTCTTCCATACCTAAAAGTGCACAAAGGGATGTAAGGCTGCAACAAATATAGAAACATGGTCCCTTATTTTTGCTTTGACTCAAATGTGATACAATTCTTGTACAGTAACTGCAATGCTCCCTTCCCACCTGCTTGTATGCCTGCAGGTGGCAGGTAACTGCCAGGTAATGATGGCGAGTGGTGGGGTCGGTAGGGACCTTTCCAAACAGCACGATCGCTGGCTGAGTCAGGTTCACCAACAACCTGCACACAGATATGCAAGCTCAACCACCGCAAGCACGCGGACACAGGGGCACGTGGTGCCACTGCTCGTATGCACTCACATCAACGCCGCGGTGTAAAGGTGTGTGCACACCTAGGTGATCTTTTGTCCATCATGGTTGCATGCAACTTAATCGCTTATGTGTGGACTAGGGGACAACTATTCACGGTCTTCGGCTAGAAAAGTCACCAAAAAAAATTGTACACGAACAACGCATTCACGCAATGCTCCGTTTTGAAGTTTTAAAGTGAAACATTATTGAATTGTATTATGTTTTGAATTAGATAATTGTATTTCTTCATTAAAAGCTTATATCATTTTACATCTGGAAGACTTCATTGAAAACGACATTTTGTGAATTTTTCTCTCGTCGTTAAGTAGATGGCCTTGCTGGGGGTTCGGTTCGATGCGGACTTTCACCTGTTTGGGATTGCGGGTTCGCGATAAGGCGACATAGAGCTGCTGGCCGTGCGAGAAGACCGCCATAATCGAACGTCTGTCCCTGCCCCTCCATCGATCACGCAGGGGGCGCGTAGGTTTGCAGCGCCCCCTGCATGAAAACGACGGAAAGTGCAGCGTTCATCACAGATAGGTAAAGTTGTGCCAGTTGCACAACCGGTTTCTTAATGGAGAGACAGACTCTACATTCAAGTGATTTGCCCAGTGATTTGTAGTGACGTAGTTCATCATATGCACGTTCGTGGAGAGACAGATATATGGATATGCTGTCTGCTTATCTATTTTGCTACTGATATTCTCCACAATGACGCTGATGATTATGTCGTGCCATGGTTACGCAAGAGATGATTCGGGTGTCGACGTGACACAATCGGCGGTCACAGTCACCTGATTATTGCCTGGAAGAGGACCTGGTCGTTGTGGTGGTAGAGCAGGAGTGGCACCAGGTCATTCTGCAGGATCATGGCATCTCCCAGCTGCTGGCGTATGTCCTTGCTGTCATCCTCACGGCGCAGGAAGCGGATCAGGTCCTTGACAGTCTCTTCAGCATGTCGGGGGAAAGTGTTAGATACAGCGATTGCATTTTACTCTGAGATTCAGAAGTTCAAGAGCAAAGCCACATGCACTAGCAACGCATAACAAAGGTCACATTTTTTTACACAAAAGTGATACAACAAAAGCAGTCTTTCTCAGAATTCCTTGCAGGTCATAGGTCAATATAGCATTGCTGCCAATACAAAGATTACAACAGAAATACTAAAGTTTAACAGTAAGCTTTCACGATCAATATTATCCATAAGAGGTTTTTGGGTAAGATCGCGTGAATAGAAATGTGTCGTTAAACCCGCCACCACCCGACACAGCCAATTAGTAAGGTTTGTCACGTAAACAAAACATGCTAATTCGTTACTAGTACAGCACACCTGTGTGTTGGAGAGTAAACCCAATTGTAAATATCTGTGGGTTTACTCTCCAACATACCAGTGTGCTGTACTAGTAACGAATTGGCATGTTCTGTTTCTGTGACAAACCTTACAAATTGGTTATCGGGTGGTGGCGGGTTTAACGACACATTTATATTCACGCGATCTAACCCAAAAACCTTTATTATGGACAAAGACTCAAGTTCAATGTTCCCACATTAATGACTGACATGTTTGGTGACGTACTAACGCGAGGACATTTGGTCAATGCCATTTACATTGCACTTTTTTGCTGTGGGTAGAAACCTATTTTGGTACTGGCAAAGGAGGTCCCATGATGTAGATGCTCCCCCCGAGCTCTCAATACTCTGATAGTGCATTGTCTTTGGGCTGTCCGCCTTCTGGCATTCCTCGGGTCTAACACCGTTTGAGACGAGGCTCAACAGAAAGCTGTCTCTGGTGTGGACCATTCAGTTTCAAGGACAATGCATGTATTATCAGAGTATGTTTTTTGTTTGCATTCTGACCAGAAGTATTGTGCTTAATGCAGACGTGATTCCTCGTAAAAAGGTTTCAGTTTTGTTGCCAGAAAAAAGGGGAAAAACCTCTTGTTATAGAAACCTGAGAACCCAGAGGAAACCCATGCAGAACGGAGGAAGAGAACACACCAACTCCATACAGAAAGGCACCCAAGGTAGGTATCAAACCGAGGAACGTCTTGCCGTGTTAACTATTAACTGCTGTGCCAAAATCATCCTAATACAGTACACCATGAGGTATAAATTTGAAGATAATTATGCACAGCTTCATAAAATGACTTATTTATAGAATAGGTCGAATGGTTCGACACATACATGAAACTGAATGCACCGTCGCCAGCCCAGGGTGGATGAAATACAGTGAGGGAATAAAGTATTTGATCCCCTGCTGATTTTGTACGTTTGCCCACTGACAAAGAAATGATCAGTCTATAATTTTAATGGTAGGTTTATTTGAACAGTGAGAGACAGAATAACAAAAAAATCCAGAAAAACGCATGTCAAAAATGTTATAAATTGATTTGCATTTTAATGAGGGAAATAAGTATTTGACCCCTCTGCAAAACATGACTTAGTACTTGGTGGCAAAACCCTTGTTGGCAATCACAGAGGTCAGACGTTTCTTGTAGTTGGCCACCAGGTTTGCACACATCTCAGGAGGGATTTGTCCCACTCCTCTTTGCAGATCTTCTTCAAGTCATTAAGGTTTCGAGGCTAACGTTTGTCAACTCGAACCGTCAGCTCCCTCCACAGATTTTCTATGGGATTAAGGTATGGAGACTGGCTAGGCCACTCCAGGACCTTAATGTGCTTCTTCTTGAGCTACTCCTTTGTTGCCTTGGCCGTGTGTTTTGGGTCATTGTCATGCTGGAATACCCATCCACGACCCATTTTCAATGCCCTGGCTGATGGAAGGAGGCTCTCACCCAAGATTTGACGGTACATGGCCCTGTCCATCGTCCCTTTGATGCGGTGAAGTTGTCCTGTCCCCTTAGCAGAAAAACACCCCCAAAGCATGTTTCTACCTCCATGTTTGACGGTGGGGATGGTGTTCTTGGGGTCATAGGCAGCATTCCTCCTCCTCCAAACATGGCGAGTTGAGTTGATGCCAAAGAGCTCAATTTTGGTCTCATCTGACCACAACACTTTCACCCAGTTGTCCTCTGAATCATTCAGATGTTCATTGGCAAACTTCAAACGGGCATGTATATGTGCTTTCTTGAGCAGGGGGACCTTGCGGGTGCTGCAGGATTTCAGTCCTTCACGGCGTAGTGTGTTACCAATTGTTTTCTTGGTGACTATGGTCCCAGCTGCCTTGAGATCATTGACAAGATCCTCCCGTGTAGTTCTGGGCTGATTCCTCACAGTTCTCATGATCACTGCAACTCCACGAGGTGAGATCTTGCATGGAGCCCCAGGCTGAGGGAGATTGACAGTTCTTTTGTGTTTCTTCCATTTGCGAATAATCGCACCAACTGTTGTCACCTTCTCACCAAGCTGCTTGGCAATGGTCTTGTAGCCCATTCCAGCCTTGTGTAGGTCTACAATCTTGTCCCTGACATCCTTGGAGAGCTCTTTGGTCTTGGCCATGGTGGAGAGTTTGGAATCTGATTGATTGATTGCTTCTGTGGACAGGTGCCTTTTATTCAGGCAACAAGTAGAGATTATGAGCACTCCCTTTAAGAGTGTGCTCCTAATCTCAGCTCGTTACCTGTATAAAAGACACCTGGGAGCCAGAAATCCTTCTGATTGAGAGGGGGTCAAATACTTATTTCCCTCATTAAAATGCCAATCAATTTCTAACATTTTTGACATGCGTTTTTCTGGATTTTGTTGTTATTCTGTCTCTCACTGTTCAAATAAACCTGCCATTAAAATTATAGACTGATAATTTATTTGTCAGTGGGAAAATGTACAAAATCAGCAGGGGTTCAAATACTTTTTTCCCTCACTGTAGTCAAGTCTGTCGGAGTGCATCGGACAGCATGGCATTTGTATCAGCACATTAATTTAATTTCCTCGCAACGAAATCTGGCTCGGACAAATTACTTTAAAAAACATTAACAGTAAAAATATTACTTAGTCACATCAGCATAAATTTAGGGTGACTATTGCACTGGTATGTAAACAAAGAAGGAAACACGTCAAATGATGTTGTAAAGTAACTGAGGTGTCCATCTGGCATCTTGGAACTACTGCCGAGTAAACACGGAACGTTGGGCCGACGTTGTTCCAACAGTTCCAACCACCTAGCCCCCAATGTTGACGCAACGTTGTCCGGGTCAGGACCCAAAGCTGCAGGATCAATGCAAACGATCCGCAACTGACCCAAGCAGTCCGGCTCCTTGTGGTAGGTGTCTCCCTCCAGGAACCCCAAGGCGCTGCATGTGGCCAGCAGCTCACAGTTCATGGTGGCCATCTCTGCAGCACGTTCACTGGGTGGCCCGTGGCCGGGTAGAGGGGCTTTCAGTGGCTGTGTGCACGCAGTGACACTGCGGGGGACACACAAAACAAACACACGTGTTGATGTTACAGGAGCCCGGAAATGAGAGTTGTTCGTAGGGTAAGACCTCGCTTAACGTGTGTTCAGACTATAACGCGTTTTCGATATAACCTGGTTCTTCCATTAGGGTAAAAGCTTTGCACGACGTGGAACGCGCACCGTTACAACGCGGAACGCACACCGTTACAAGGTGGAACGTGCCCGTTACAGAGAGAGACACACACATAGACACACAGAGAGAGATAGCACAGAGACACACAGAGAGAGACACACACATAGACACAGAGAGAGATAACACAGAGACGCACAGAGACACACAGAGAGACACACACATAGACACACAGAGAGAGATAACAAAGAGACACACAGAGAGAGACACACACATAGGCACACAGAGAGAGATAACACAGAGGCACACAGAGAGAGACACACACATAGGCACACAGAGAGAGATAACACAGAGACACACGCATAGGCAAATAGACAGAGATAACACAGAGACATACAGAGAGACACACAGACACACAGAGAGAGACACACATAGACACACAGAGAGAGATAACACAGAGACACACAGAGAGAGACACACACATAGACACACAGAGAGAGATAACAAAGAGACACACAGAGAGAGACACACACATAGGCACACAGAGAGAGATAACACAGAGACACACAGAGAGAGACACACACATAGGCAAAAAGACAGAGATAACACAGAGACATACAGAGAGAGACACACACAGACACACAGAGAGAGACACACACATAGCCACACAGAGAGAGATAACACAGACACACAGAGAGAGACACACATAGACACATAGACACACAGAGAGAGACACACACATAGGCACACAAAGAGATAACAGACACACAGAGAGAGACACACACATAGACACACAGAGAGAGATAACAAAGAGACATAGAGAGAGACACACACATAGACACACAGAGAGATAACACAGAGACACAGAGAGAGACACACACATAGACACACAGAGAGAGATAACACAGAGAGACACACAGAGAGATAACACAGACACACAGAGAGAGACACACACATAGACACACAGAGAGAGACACACAGACACAGAGAAACAACGCCTCTGTGTCGAAGCCTTAAATAGAGAGAGAGGGGGCCTCGACACAGAGGCATTGTTTCTCTGTGTGTCTATGTTGTCTCTCTCTGTGTGTCTCTGTGTTATCTCTCTCTGTGTGTCTCTGAGTGTCTATGTTGTGTGTTTCTCTCTGTGTGTCTATGTTGTGTGTCTCTCTCTGTGTCTATGTTGTCTCTCTCTGTGTCTATGTTGTGTCTCTCTCTGTGTCTATGTTGTGTCTCTCTCTGTGTGTCTCTCTCTGTGTCTCTCTCTGTGTGTCTCTCTCTGTGTCTCTGTGTGTCTATGTTGTGTCTCTCTCTGTGTCTCTGTGTTATCTCTTTGTGTGTCTCTCTCTGTGTGTCTATGTGTGTCTCTGTGTTATCGCTCTGTGTGTCTAAGTGTGTGTCTCTCTCTGTGTGTCTCTGTGTTATCTGTCTGTGTGCCTATGTGTGTGTCTCTCTCTGTGTGTCTGTGTTGTGTCTCTCTCTGTGTCTCTATGTTGTCTCTCTCTGTGTGTCTCTGTGTTATCTCTGTCTGTGTGCCTATGTGTGTGTCTCTCTGTGTCTCCGGTTCTGTGTTTTGGCTCTCTTAAAATTTAGCAATCTTTGGAAGAACGTAATCAACCAGGTAAGGTGTTGACTGTTATGTTAGCCAACTGTGATGTATTGCATTATATTTCTAAGTTTACTAGGTTCTTTTCTCTTTCATTTGTACCTGATGATGATTGCTTGTGTTGCAATCGAAACGTTGTATGCTATTATTTAATTTATTATTTTCTCTTTCTACGTCACTTTAACGAAAATAACCAAAGAGTAATTCCTACAATCACGAAAGCGCCAAATCAAATCTTACTCTGTGTGTACGTAACTTCGTATCTCGCACAACTCTATCGTTACATTATTATGGCCAAATTGTGTCTCAAGAACGCATTTACCGCATTAAACGAGGACCTACTGTAAATCGAAACGCATGCATTTAATTTTCGATTTAAAGCTTTCGTGACTGCAATGATTCATCTTCTTTGGTTCTTTCGGTAAAGTCACGTAGAATGAGAATAAAATAATAAATTGATAAAATAACATAACACAATAATATTCTCACGACGTTTCGGCCACAACACAAGCGGCCTTCATCAGGTGAAGGGACGAGACTGTCTGGTAGGACAGCGCTGGAGCAGACAGTCTCGTCCCTTCACCTGATGAAGGCCGCTTGTGTTGTGGCCGAAACGTCGTGAGAATATTATTGTGTTATGTTATTTTATCAATTTATTATTTTATTCTCATTCTACGTGACTTTACCGAAAGAACCAAAGAAGCATGCATTTAATGTTGAGTGCTCCCATTAGAGCTCACAACATTGTATTTAACATTCCTCTCACACACAATCTGGGACGATGAGGCGATTACTCAACTACAAGTTGTACCAAGACTAGGTTTAGCGGTCGATTTTTCGGGTCACCTTTAAACATGTTCATGAATGATCCACATTATTCGCTCTGTGTGCCCGAGGGAAATTAGGTTATGTTAATCTGGTCACACACGCAGCTACCTAACTGTTGCGTTATAATACTATGCAGGGGAATAATCCAGTACAGGATACTTATACGGAGCGTTGGTAAAATGTTACCTTTCACAAACCAGCGTTGGCCGAACGTTCCATGTTTATCAGAAGTGCGTCTTATAATCCAGTACAAAACACTTCGCTTCTGAGGAGCGCCGTGAACGTAACTGAACGGATTCGCGTACGACGATCCACAGCGACGACAAACAATACAGACGAGGAAATAATGAGGAAAAGTTAACAATTGTAATTGTCATGTTTACCTGAAACTCGATCGAGTCTCTGAGGGAAGCGACACTCAGATCCGGGAACCGCTTCCCGCCAAAACGAGGCTCCCGGCTCACGTGGGTGGGCGAGTCCACCCCAGTGATATACAATAAAACATTTTTTATACCGCAGTATCATTCGGGTTTAGAATCAAATGAAAATGATTAAATAATTACTTAAAATTGGCTAAATACGAAATGTTTGATTATTTGTAATTACTGCAATTAGGGTGCTGTCTGAGACAATTTAATTAATGGAATGGTCCATTCAGCTGCGTTTGTGTGGGGTCCCTTTGCGTTTGTAAACGTTTATGACTGTCAAGATTTAATGTAACGCCATTATTACGAGTTGGATACAAAGACGTACAAAGTATAAACTTAAAACAAATATAACAAATACATTTTTACATACACATATGGGATCGATGTATTGGTTAAGGTATAACTATCGCTATGCACCCTGGGTTCTTCAACTGCGTCATGGTGGCCGAGTGGTTAAGGCGTTGGACTCGAAATCCAATGGGGTCTCCCCGCACAGGTTCGAATCCTGTCCATGACGAGAATTTTTTGTAACTGAAAAATTTACATTTCCAGAAGCATTCACTTGTAAAGGTTATTGTTTGAGGATAAATTCGAATTTTTTTTTACAAAAGATGCCGAGCAAATTAAATCTAAATCCAACGCGCGCAGCGCTGCAGTGCACATTGACTGCCGCAATACATGTGACCGCCAGGTGGCGCAATAGTCTACCGTTCTATTACGTTGTCTGTCCGTCAACTAAATAATAATATTAATAATAAGAGCCTTTCAGGATGCCTGAGTCAAAAAGTTGTAGAAAGTGCCCCCCCCCCCGCCCCCCACAGATGTTTGGGTAAAAGGTTGATTCAACTGGTTTCGAAAGATTGTTGAGGCCCCCCCAAAAAACTTCACTCCCCCCCCCACACATATTCTTATTTTCTAGGCATATAGAGTCAGTAGTATCGACATGCCTACACACCCTACATTCAGTTCAGTTCATTTATTTGGTATAGCCCTGTGAGCCGTGCGGCTCTTGAATCGGGTGCACCCGCAACAAACGAAAACATGAACAAGAAAACATCTTGAGGTGACTACACGCAACAAAAAAATCCAGGAAAAAACAGCAAAGTCTTCCAGGAAAAAGCACCGCATATTAACGCTGTGTGCAAAAATCCCTGTGGGATGCAAGTCAAACAATAAAAACCATAATACATTTTAGAGTAAAGTTATCAGACTAACTCTGTACTACAACAAACAAATATGGCGAAACCAAAACGTTGTCGAAATCACCAAAATAAAGCTATAAAAATAATGTAACAGTGATCATTGGAACTGTGATTCAAATTTAACAATAAACGATATACATAACATGTACGACCAAACTTTGCAGCCATACAGTAGCTGGCAGCATGAGTAACTCCATAATAGCAGGAGTATCAGTAGGAGTAACAAACATTTTCAATACACCTTTCAAGATCAGCACACTATAATAAAAACTCAAGATCATACTTTGAATACAATAGAGTCAGTAGTATCTGCACACATGGGAAGGGGGGGGGGGGGCATCAGTGGGGGCGACGGGCGAGGCGCTAAGCCCTCCGCAGGAGTTAGAATAAGGCAGCCGTAGGTAGGCGACCTTCTAGCAATTTAAAACGCTGCTTAGATGTAACGCTTATAATTAACATTTTATACAAATCCCTGATTAACAATGAGTGGCAGAGATACGTTGATTGCTCATTCTCTCCAGAGTCCTGGGACCGTTTTAAGTTTGTCCAAAATTCAAAAGCAATATTTCATACTTGACAATTTTTTTCACTCGGTCGGTCATCCGTGAATATTTCCGTGAATAATTTCGTAAATGAACACGAAATTGGACAGGAGGGGGGGGGGGCATTTCGTTAACTGCGCCGTGCTCCCACGTTGCACCGCGCCGCAACCCATTGGTCTGTACGACGCTGCCACCTTCGCCCCATCATCCCGCGTCCGGCATCGTAACTTCACGAGCTGACACAACCGGCTGGCGTCCGGGGGCTGGATGGCGGACGGGCGAGAGGGATGTGGGCAGGCCTGGACGACTGGCCATATGGGCAGCAGTCCGGCCCGTCCATTCCCGAGGGCCGATGGTCCGGTCTGTGCGGGGAAATTGCAGATGAGATCAGAGTAAATAAATGTTTTAATTGAAATGTTTTATTACCTTTCATGCGGACGCCTCGTTGCTTATTTACGCCCTCAGTTCGCATTTAAGTCCCCATATATTCGGCAGCCCCAAAGATTCTTCCTCACCGGCCCATTTTTTTTTTGGATCAGCCCAAATGGGCCAATGAGGATCGTATGACAATTGAGGCCGCTGTCTTTACAAATGCCTGGACCGATTTTTTTAGTTCACAGTCCGTCATTGGATGTGGGCATTGGTGGCATCCGGCTAAAGCAAAGGAGGCAAAAAGCCCAAGTTGTTCAAGGGGCTTCGTATTCATTTTTGGGTGCACCGTTGGAATGAGTTTCCGATTTAATAAATACATCGTATTTCAGATCTCTAAGGAAAATGTTGGATCTTGTTCAGAGTTTCGGATCGTTTACACGACGTGCTCATTTCAAACGCGGTTGTGCTTGCACAAAGTCAGGACCCGGTGCCACGTGCCATGTGCTCTTGATGAGAATGGTTATGCCATGAGATTGGCCTCACGGTGACGCTACGATTTCCGGCTCAATCAAAAAAAATGTTTTCCCATCACCCAATATTTCAGATCTCGGCTCAATTTTCAGATATTTTAGATTAATATGAAAAGCAGTCAAATGTCCACAGTGCACCAAACATCATCTATAGCTCAAAACCTTTAAAAAATATTTTCGTAGAATATCACCGTAATTATTTCACACAACTGTGATACTGTTTCACCAAGTTATGCAACTTGTCCGTTCTAAAATGTTTGTAGTCAGGCGACGCACCTAAAAATAAGTTCTGCTTCGGGCACCCAGTGGGCCGGCACCACCAATGGATGTATGGGCTTGCCATGGGGGAGGGTCCGGGTTCACCATGGTGATCTGCACCCCCTTGGCAGCAGCAGCAACAGCACCGTATAGTGTGACTACGTTTCTAAACGAGGCTCGCACGCACCATGCACCGTCTCACTTTCGCCATGCACGCCAATTGCATTCGCGCAAATAACCGGGCTCACGGGGGAAATGGCGCCTCCAATTCTTGCACGGTCGTAGGAGGCTCTGATGGAGCGACTGACGCTGCTGCTGCTGCTGCTGCAACTGCAGCAGAGGAATTGGACGCTGAAGAGGTCACCCGAGTGTGGATCTGATGCACTTGCAGAACGTGAAGAGCTTATGACTAATGCGCGCACACACACACAATCAGCAGACACGCAGTCAACACGCCATCAGCACATACATCTTCACACAGACGGCCCAATCGATATTTAGCCATGTGTACGTTTTCTAATCAGGGTTCCTTTTTAAATCTGTCAATCTAACCAAGCATTTCTCGAAACTTCTTAGTGCACTCGTGAGTTTTTGTTCCAACTGTTTCATCAATGTCCATGTTTCTGATCCATGTGTCATAACAATGTTTTGGTCGAAGCTGCGTTGGCAGTGACGCACAAGCACACATCGCAAAGCAACTCAACACATTCCTCAAGAACGCTGCCTTACAAGTAAAATGATGTAAGAAGTGATGTGTCGGGCAATGGCCCTTCTTCACAGTACACAGTGAAGCCAGGGAGGTAAGTAACCTCTCTGAGCTCTCGATGGTTCACCCAGGACATTCGGTTCCACTGCCTCATCGCCGACCTCACCGTCTACCTGGCTTCGACCTGCCACGCTCGTTACGGGCCCCGCGAAGCAGATTCCGTACCGGCCACGGTCCGTGTGAAGCCAACCCCGACACCCCGCGGCAAGCGTGACCAACATCCATGCTCTTGATGTGGTCAGCGAAAGACCGTGTCATCGCAAATTGCCCATGAATGCCTCCCGACCAGTACTCGACGGTAGACCCCGAGCCCTCCGTCCACGCGACTGATGAAGAGGCTGTAGCCTGGGTCGGCAAGATGAGCAGACGATGATAATTATTCATCACCATAATAAAGGTGTCTAGAGGCTGTGTCCTTTTATACGGACAATCTGTTTCTATCGCAGATAACCCCACGAGTCATCTGTGGCAATACTCTGGACTGTAACTATAGTTGCTGATATATTTCCACAACAATTACATTCATAAATGGGGCATCAGCGCTTCAAGTGGCACACATTATTGCTTCTCAACCTCACCCAAAAACAAGAGCACGTTGCGCAAATTTTCACGTCTCTCGACTCGCTTCATCACTCTACTCCCCTCCACGCACTCCCCTACCTCTTCCCTCTCGTCTCAATCTACTCCCCTCCACACACTCCCCTACCTCTCCCCTCTCGTCTCAATCTACTCCCCTCCACGCACTCCCCTACCTCTCCCCTCTCGTCTCAATCTACTCCCCTCTAAGCACTCCAGCGACCAAGGCCTTCCATTGGAACCTCAAGTCGAGTTTTGCTCGTGGGAGGTCGCTCCTTTTCCCCAGCTGCTCCCATTGTTTTAAAGCCCCATCCACTGGTAATCTCCACTTCAGAGCGCCTCTCCCTGTTTAACTTCATGATAAACACCACCACCTTCCCCTTCTATTCTGCCTATGCTCTCGAAGTGAATTATAACCTCTACCATAGTTATACTTTATCATACTATGTTTTCGGTCCTAACTTTGATTTTTATTTACCATTTCTGGGCAGTAACTAACCGTAACTATCATAAATACCTTACCATAACCAAACATAACGAACCTTAATAAAATGTGCGCTGGTGGGAATAAATCTTAATTTCCATGGGGGCACAAACGACGCTTCCTACCCTCCGGTTTGGTGCGGTGACATCAAGCGCGTTGGACATGTGAGTGAGATCTTGATCTTGACAAACATTCACTGAATGTTAATTCCAGATAGGGACCAAGTATTCATCTGAACCAATATCAATTTACGCCGCCTCTTGGAGACTATGACGGTGGCTGGCTGCGCTAAGGCCATATCGGACGACCGCACAACGCGCGTTTGAACGTGACTGATCGTAAACCTTAACCTTGAGCTAAAGTTGGGCTTTCAGTGGCGGCAGACGCTGCCACGTGCTCTGGCACATTTGGCTGTGGCAGGGAATGGCCCGTGACCCCACTGCTGGGAGGATAAAAAAAAAGATTCTAGCAGAGCTCGGCTTGAATCTCCGTCTCGCGTCCGCCGCAGCCTCAGAGGCATGGGCACGGCGCTGCGTTTTTGCCCGCGTGGGCAGTGCTGCGTGTGTAGAGTCACGACATTGGGCGCGGAGGGCGATCGGTCGCTGCGAATTCCTGGTGCTGATACGTGCACCGAGAGAAGAGGCAGATATGCTATGACGTGGTTCGGAAACGTGGACATTGACAAAAGTGACGGAACAAAAAAATGGAAGAGTGCACAAAGCAGCATGGAGATATGCGTGCTTAGATTTGTATTGCGAGACAAACAGAGGCACACA